GGAGCGGGTGATGGAGCAGTGGGTGATGGAGGAGCGGGTGATGGAGGAGAGGGTGATGGAGGAGTGGGTGATGGAGGAGTGGGTGATGGAGGAGCGGGTGATGGAGGAGCAGGTGATGGATCAGTGGGTGATGGAGCAGTGGGTGATGGAGGAGCAGGTGACGGAGCAGCGGGTGATGGAGCAGCAGGTGATGGAGCAGCGGGTGATGGAGGAGCAGGTGACGGAGCAGCGGGTGATGGAGCAGCGGGTGACGGAGCAGCGGGTGATGAAGCAGCGGGTGATGAAGCAGCAGGCGATGGAGCAGTGGTGTTGGAGTAGTGGGTGATGGAGGAGCAGCGGGTGATGGATGAGCAGTGGGTGATGGAGCAGTGGTGATGGAGCAGCGGGTGATGGAGCAGCGGGTGATGGAGCAGCGGGTGATGGAGGAGCAGCGGGTGATGGAGCAGCGGGTGATGGAGCAGCGGGTGATGGAGGAGCAGCGGGTGATGGAGCAGTGGGTGATGGAGGAGCGGGTGATGGAGCAGTGGGTGATGGAGGAGCGGGTGATGGAGCAGTGGGTGATGGAGGAGCGGGTGATGGAGCAGTGGGTGATGGAGGAGCGGGTGATGGAGCAGTGGGTGATGGAGCGGGTGATGGAGCAGTGGGTGATGGAGGAGCGGGTGATGGAGGAGAGGGTGATGGAGGAGTGGGTGATGGAGGAGTGGGTGATGGAGGAGCAGCGGGTGATGGAGGAGCAGCGGGTGATGGAGCAGCGGGTGATGGAGGAGCAGCGGGTGATGGAGCAGCGGGTGATGGAGGAGCAGCGGGTGACGGAGCAGTGGGTGATGGAGCAGTGGTGATGGAGCAGCAGGTGGTGGATGAGCCCTTGCCACTGGGTAGACACCTCTGGCTACTTGTTACCCTGGTTCCTGTTTCCCATTAGAGCCCTCAACTTGGGGGCGGGCGGTGGGGGCTTCCACTGGCCAGCCTTGCTAGCGAGGTCCTGTGAGAGGGGCCTGGCCTGGTGCAGGCCTTCTGTCGGGGGCTCACCCATCTGTCGTGGGTGTCCTGGGGCCTGGGTTGGGCCGCAGCTCCCGAGATGGTGAACTCTGTGTGAGTGGCAGAGGCTGTTGGCACCCGCCTCCCTCCCCTCCAGTGCTCCTGGCTCTCCCCTGTCTGGGCGAGAATCACAGGCTCTCACGACAGATCAAAGGCGGCCGGCAAGAGGCCCCCAAGCCTATGCCAGGCCTCAGAGGTGGCCTTCCGCAGCCAGTGTGCCCCACGAGGCCACCGCCTAGCCGGGGCTCCCACACAAGCCAGTTTAGCCATGGCCCCGGGGAAGCCCAGCTCCTACACGCCCTGGCTCAGCAGTGAGTGCTGGCCAGGGAGGAGTCCACCCCCCTGGGGGCAGCACTCCGTTCAGCCTGGAGACAGAGCCCTCTGCTGAATGCCTGGTCCGTTCAGCCTGGGGACAGAGCCCTTTGCTGAACGCCTGGGCTTCAGCACCCAGTCAGCACAGTGCGAGCAGACAGGAGCAGTGGCCACTGTGGCTGTGACCTCGCGGGTGGGAGTGTGAGCTGGGTGTGTGTGCCTTGTAGAGGGCCGTGGGCCGTGGGCCACCGTCGGGGAGCCCGCCTCACCATCCTGGGATGGGGACAGCAGAGACCAAGGCTGCCTTCCCGGAAGTCGTTCCAGTGGGCGGCCGCGGGGCTTCTGGGCAGCCCTGTCCTGGAACCTGGTGGGCCAGGGCTCAGTGGGTGAGGGGGAGCAGGACGCGAGCCCCGAGTACCACAGGGACCTGCTGGCCGGCAGGTGACCAGCCCCTCCCCCCACAGGCCTTGTGAAGCTGGGGATTCACTGTGTCACGTGCCAGAAAGTGGCCATCAAAATCGTCAACCGCGAGAAGCTCAGCGAGTCGGTGCTGATGAAGGTGAGCAGCGGGCTGGGTGGGGAGGGCTCCTGTGCCCCCTCAGGCTGAGCGGAGGCAGGCCGCCCCCAGGCTGCCCGGCCCCTTCCCCTCCGTCCACTCCTGCTGGCTGGAGGATGGGTCTGCCACAGGCTGTGAAGGCGCTCTGCTCGCCTGCCAGGCCAGCTGCCTGGGCCTTGGTTTCCCCGGCTGGGGTGGAGAGGCCCTGCCCCTACCAGCGGTGAGGAGGGCAGATGGGTCTGGGAAGGCAAAGGGACCTGGGGCAGGGGGGCAGTTCTCAGGGGGGACGGGAGCTGGCCTGGCCCTGGAGGCGGGGCTGAGACGTGGGTGGGGCAAGGATGTGTGGACTTGGGGACCTGCACAGGTGAGAGCCGGGGTCTGAGCTGCGGGGAGGGACCCCGCTGCGTGGCCTTGCCCGCACAGGCCCACAGGGGAGGAGGAGGGCTGTGGACAGGGACAGGGTCCCGGCTGGTGCCCAGCGCAGGCCTGGCGGCTGCCCTCTGCCAGCCCCCACAGGGGCAGGGTAGCCGTGGGAGTCTTCTGGGTGTCCTCTGCCAGCACGTGCCCCTCCCTGGGGTCCTGGGCTGGCCTCTGCCGTCCCCACATGGGGGAGACTGCACGTGCTCCCCGCAGAGCCTGCCGCACCTGCATCCGTGTCCTCACTCAGCCCTCCTACCTGTGGCACCCTGCTCGCCACCCTGCCCTGGATGCCCTGCCTGCTGCCCGCCCCACTGGACTTCCCACCGCAGGGCAGAGCCAGAGGCTGGCCTTCGGGCAGACGGCATCCCCTTTCTAGCCTGGCCCCTGATACAGTGTCTGACAGTGAAGGGAAGAGGCACACCGGCCTGAGAGGGAGGGCCTGCCTGGTGCCCCCTCCCCCCGCCAGGAGGGAGGGAGCCCCACCCTGGGCTGAAGCCTCGCTGCAGCGGCTCTGACCTCTCTTCCTGGGCAGGTGGAGCGGGAGATCGCCATCCTGAAGCTCATCGAACACCCCCACGTCCTGAAGCTGCATGACGTCTATGAAAACAAAAAATATTTGTAGGTATTGCTGGGCCTGAAGAGCGGGGTGGGGAGCAGGGCCACCGGCTGCAGTGTGGGAGGCCAGGGGCAGGAGGCCGACAGATACAGGTCCTCTCCCGGACCGGGGGCTGGGGCTGGCCAGCAGATCCCAGCTGCTGGACTTTACCCTGGCGAGCTGCTGCGAGGGAGCCTGGGCCGGGTCGCAGGGGTCACCTCGCTGCTGGGACCCGCAGGGCCAGCATCAAGCTGAGACCCCACAGGGACAGGCCTCTGGTCAGCGGTGCCCCCGGTGCCAATGCTGGGGACCCACTGAGGCTCCCTGCCCCGCTGCCAGGGCTGCCCGGCCCCCAGCTCCCGCTGCGCCCCAGCTCCAGGCTGCCCCGCAGGTCACTGGTCCCCTCCCGGCCTGGGCTCCCGCCCAGCTCCTGGCGTAGAGCCCCTCACTGGCCTGCCTGGCTGGGGGTCCTTGCGCCTCTGGGGGTGGCCGCCCACTGCACCGCCGAGGGGGGAGGAGGACCTCGCATGTAATAGCATCCACGTGCGCCCTGTGTGGAGTGGCGGCCGGGACCCTGCGTTCAGAGTCCTGGGGCCCCACCTGGAGTCACGCCTGCCGTCCCCCTGCTCACTGGCTTGCTATGGGTGAGTGCAGCCAGGGCCAGGCACGGGCAGGGCACGGTTTTGGAGCTAGCTCTTGCCACATACAAACGGCTGAAGAGAGGAGAGAGGGGCTCCTCTCAGCGTGGATGGTGGGGTGTCGGGGACTCCGTTGCAGAGACTCTGTCACCTCAAGGCCTTGGGGCAGGGGCAGGGTGGTCTTGGGCCTCCCTCCAGTGCTGGCAAAGTGGGGGGCTGCTAAGGGGCTCAACTGTGGCCCTACTCCATCCACTCTGGGGGGGGCAGACAGGTGGAGACACAGCTGTGCCCAGCTTCACGGCCCCCACTGCCGCGCCCGCCTGGACGCGGTGTGGGGTGAGGAACAGCTCTGGGAGCTGTTCTAGGACAGAACTGAATGGCCGGTGCTAGCCGCGGGCCTGAGGACGGGCTGGTCAGGCTCTGGGGAGAAGGCCCTTTCTACCCTGGGAAGGGGTCATGGGGCCCGAGGCTGGGTTCTGGGCGGGAGGGGCTGGCTTGGGGGTGAGCAGCATGCAGGCAGTCCGGGTGGGTTTGGCGCCAGGAGCACCTGTCCTGTGAGGTCCTCCCCCACTCCTCCATGCCCCAACATGAGCGGTGGCCTCTCCCCGCCCACTGCCGGGCTCGCCTGGGCCTGAGGGGCCTGAGGTCTCCAGGCACCTGCTTGGCTGCTGCTCCCACTGCCGCCTCCCTGGCCAAGGCCTGGGGCAACCGAGGCCCAGGAGGGCCAGTCCATGCTCAGAGGGGCCTGGGGGGCTGAAGGCGGGTGTGCTCCCTTGTCAAAGCTGACTCCTCCACACCTCGTGGCCCTCCGTGCAGAGCCAGAGTGGCCGTGGGCCCCTCAGTCCGCGGGCAGCCTTCCCTGCCGGGCGGAGAAGCCATTGGCGTGGAGGCCTGAGACAGGCCCGGCCCCAGAGTGCCGACCACACTCGAGCCCTGCCTGCCACGGCTGTGCTCTCCACCCTCCCGAGAGGGCAGAGCCTGCTGGCAGCTGGGGGCCCGGGCCCACGGGATGGGCGGCACCGCGCTGAGCCAAGCTCTGGGGCTCCCCACCCCGGCAGGAGGCGGGCAGGAGGGCGCCGCCTGCCAGGAGGCCGTGGTGGCATTGACGCCCCTTGTCTCGCAGATACCTGGTGCTAGAGCACGTGTCTGGGGGAGAGCTGTTCGACTACCTGGTGAAGAAGGGGAGGCTGACCCCCAAGGAGGCCCGCAAGTTCTTCCGGCAGATCATCTCGGCTCTGGACTTCTGCCACAGCCACTCCATATGGTGGGTGCTGGCCCC